GAGTTGGGCCGGGCCGGGCTCGGGCCGGGCTTTTTTGACAAATCCCGAACCTGGCCCGAAACACAGTCGGGCTTACTGTGTTAAGCCCGAGGTCAGGCCCGCGGGCCTAATTATATGACCAAGCCCGGCCGGGGTGCGGGCCGGGCCGGGCCGTCGGGCTACCTGGCCCATGAACAGGTCTAGTGGCGATTTTAATGTCACTAGATTTCGCAATGAGAACTCAAACTATAGGAGACTAACTAGAAGTATGAAGGATTTCTCAGCTTTTGTCGCAAGGCATAACCTTCGGGACCTCCCTCTTAATAATGGTTCCTTCACTTGGTCAAATATGCGAGAATATGTGATTAGCAGCAGATTTGACAGATTTCTTATGACTGCAAACTGGGAAGAACATTTTCTTAATCTCCTGCAATCAACAAGTTCTAGTTTATTTCTAATCACTGGCCAGTGATTCTCCAAAATGAAGTAATGAGGAAAGTAAAGGCTCCATTCAGGCTAGAGAAAGTCTTAACAACTCATAGGGAGTTCCAACAAAAGGTGGCTATGTGGTGGGAGGAATACAGAGTGGTTAGCTAGGCAGACTTCCGATTCCTCTAAAAGCTGAAATACCTAAAGAGCAAGTTAAAAGTTTGGGGTAAAGAGGAATCTAAACTTTATACAAAGGAAAAGAACAAAGTGATCCAGGAGTTAGATGACTTAGACCAGAAGGAGCAATGTGGAAGTTTGGATGGAGAGGGCAGAAAAAGAAGGGAAGATCTAAAAAAGAAGTGGGAGCAGTCCGTAAGGAGGGAAGAAATCTTCTAGAGGCAACGATCTAGGGTGGTGATTTGGTTGAAGGAGGGAGATAATATCTCTAAATTCTTCCATAGCTATGCTTCAAGGAGAAAGAGGAAGAACTTTATCTCAAAATTGAGGGTGGGGCAATTAGAAGTAGAGGATCAAAACGAAATTTCAGATGTTACTGTGAATTTCTTTAAGGAGTTATATTTGAAGGGGGATTTCAGTAGAACTTAAGTGGCATGCTGGGACGGCTCTAAGTTGGCAGAGGAAAAGAAGACTTGGTAAGAGAAAGCCTTTGATGAGGAAGAAGTGAAGCAAGCAGTGTCTAATCTAGATGGTGATAAAGCCCCTGGGCCAGATGGGTTCCCTAATCTTCTACCAAACATTCTAGAATACAATCAAATCAGACCAATTAGAGATTTTTTCAGATTTCTACAAGTCAACTATTGTGAATAAAGGCAATAAGTCCACCTTTATCGCCTTAACTCCAAGAGCAGTATTGTGGGAATAAATGTGGATGAGTCCCTTATCGACAGGTACAAGGAGTTGTTGGGTTGTAGGGTGGAAAGACTCCCCATTTCCTACGTGGGGATGCCCCTTGGTGGGAACCCGAGAAACCAAAATTTTTGGGACCCGGTAGTGGAGAAGTGTGAGAAAAGATTGGCTACCTGGAAGAAAAACTCTCTCTAAAAGAGGTAGGCTTACGTTAATCAAGACCTCTCTCTCCAACCTGCAAACCTACTTCCTCTCAGTCTTTCAAGTCCCAGGTAAAATAAAAAACAAGTTGGAGAAACTTCAGCGGGATTGGTGTGATTCCTTAAAATAGGAAACCTTGTATTAGTAGAAATTTGTGCGATGAGCATGTGTTTGGGGGGGGGGGGGTTGATCTTGATTGGTGATCATGCTATGGGTATGATGTCCTATTGCCTGTTATTTGCAGTTTCTTTTTTATTTTAATTTAATTTACCTTTATTATCAAAAAAAAGAAGAAAAAACAAGGAATCTTGTATAGCCGGCACATATTATTAAAGATGAAGGTGAAGTTTCACAGGACATCTACAAAATCAGCCACACTTCAAAAAGCCAGATGTTGGAAAGCAAAAACATATCCATAAAATGAATGTAGTAGAGATGCGGATGATGAGATAGGTAAGTGGAAATACCGAGGGAGAGGTGAAAAATTATATTTGAGGAATTTAATATTGGTTGCAAGATAAGAGAAAGTACGATAAATAAATAGAGTTTAACACTGTGAAACTGTCACAATTGGAGAAAGATCATACAATATTAGTTGAGACTTCTAAATGGACAAAGGCAAGACAGAGAACAACTTGGACTCAGATAGTAAGAAAAAATTTGATAATTTGTTATTTCTAAAATAGAGTAGAGTGTAGGATCAAGATTTGTACAGTCAACCCCATTCAGGTGAGATTAGGTAGATGGATATTTGTTAATTATGACCATGAGATGATGATGATGGTGACCTTTTGTCTCTCTGAAAGTTTTCCTTTCCACCCCAATAATTGTTAAACGTTACTCCTAAAAGATTAATTAGACACATTTCAAACAATTAATAAGCACAAAGTGCATACTAAAATACTAAGAATAGCTGCAATGGGTATAGCTGTATAATTATGCCAGTGTAAAATGACTGCAATTTCTATAATAGTATTTCCATTCCAAGAGGCAAAATCCAAATTAGAGTGTAGGCTTGTAGCATTTGCCAAGTAATTCCTAAGTCACTATTATAGTAGGTCTGCAAAAGCAGATAATACAATTTTCAACTACAAGATAATAAGAATAAAACACTAGAGTAATACATTCTTTTGTTTGGGGAGGGGAGGGATTTCACGGGATGATGGCACGAAAAAGATAGAAATTTATGAACCAAGCAAGATCTTCTCCAGTCTCCATAACCATCTGAAAGAACAAATTACCTCAGGATTATGAGGATCCAGGGCACTAAGCATTTCCATTAATACATCTGCTACACCATGAGCATTTTTAATTTCTGGAAGGCTACAGCAAAGACAAATCTTATAAGATGATTGAACAGACAAGAAATGCTTAGTTCATGGAACAAGTAGAATAAAAACGATGGAAAGAAACTAACTTAACCAAATGAGTGAAAAAACAGTTTCATTAGTTTAATTGATATAATCAATCAATCCCAGATTTACTGTTACCTATGGCCATCTACATTGTACAGTATGGAAGCAGGCATTAAATAGCTTAATTCATGGTTAAGTTGTGAGCCCTTCAATAATTTCTGACTAGTTCGACTCATGTTCTTTTTAGCCTGCCCCCAGTTCTACTAGGCCCTTCAACTTGCATCAGATCACTTCTTATTAGTGCAGTAGTGATGCAGATGCAGAAGCAAGGAAAAAATTTATGGAGAGACAAACCAATTTTCCAATTCTTATGCCAATTTCAGAATTTTTGGGTTATAGGATATTGATATTGTTTCAGTTTTTAGGGGTTTTTATTGTTCAGTCCACCCATAAACTTTAGTACAGTTGGAACAGTAACAGGTGGGAGAATGAATAAAAATTAAAGGGGGGTAGTGAACCATAGGTGGAGTTGTTGGTAAATAAAACCCAAAAACCTAATAAAAATCCCTGATGTGAACTGAACTCTAAATTTCCCTTTTTTATTTATTTTCTGATTGTTGGTGTCTTAACAACAAGGTTCTGTTTCTGTTTTTTAAGTTTTTATTTCGAAATTACTGCTTATGGTAACTCTTGGACTTGCTACCTATAGTAATTCTCATAATTACTATTTGTAGTAAATTCATGAATTTACTATCATTAGTAATTTCAGGTGTCTTTAAATTAAGTTATTTCAGTGCGATTAGGGAAGTTTTATCAGAGTTGTTTAGGAGTTAGAGTCCTTATTTAAGTGTCTTTATGGGTTACATACAGATTTGGCTTAGTTCTAAAACGATCAGAAGTTTTGGGTCAGTTTCCTAGTCCAAATTGGAGTCAGTAAAAGGTCATCTGAGCTCATGTATTGAGTCTATAAATACAGTCATTGTAAATGGAGTTCAAGGAGTTTATTTGAAGAAATAAAGATTGGTTAGTGAATTCTGGTCAATGCCAGAAATTTTTCACTTTTCCCCTCTATCTCGCCTGCTTGTTCTTCTAAGTGACCTATCTCTTTGCTGTTTACCCTAACAGCAAGAGTTCTCTTCTTCTAATTTCTTTCTCATTCTTTTGTGATAGCAAGCATTCTACTTGATTTTCCACCATATTCTTCATCAATCATAGCCCTTCATTCACCCCACAAAGCCTACCACCAGATCCTAAGTTGGTAGGACCCCTACCCATCCTACAACAAGTAGGTGGGCTTCTATGCACATGCCCAAACAATCTTATCTTACTTCACCTCATTTTATCCCTGATTTTAGCAGTTATCTTCTTAAATCTAACCCAGTGTTTTGACTTCTGATCAATGTTTTGAAATGCGTGAGACTTATGTCATGAGGCTTGCAAAACTTGAAGAAAATACCGAGGCTTATATCTACAAGGCTTTTTCTTTTTTTTTTTTGGGGGGGGGGGGTAAGAGATGCCTCACGCCTTAAGATGCTTTATTTCAAGAACATATATTTCATAAATTCATTGAAGTACCTAAATTAAAGAACAATTCAAATTTTTTCCACGTGTATCTGTGTCTTGTTTGAATCATTAGTGGTTTTAACCAATCTGAGGTTTCATATTATGTGTTAATTCCTATTAGTCTTCAAGGATCTGTAAAAGATAATCAAACGGATAAAAGGTCAATGGCACCAATGGAAGGAAATTATTACCAAATCACCACAGCTGAAGAGTATCAAATAGCATTTATATGGAAGTCCTCTTTCTTTCTTTCTTTCTTTCACTTCAATTACCAAGCAGGATTATTTTATCAGGGAAAATCAATGTATTGGTTGGTTACCAAAGAGGTTAATTATTTCCTATTTTAAGGACAAAATTCAAAGATTAATCGGATCAAGAAATGCATGGTCCTAGTGAAGCTCAATTAAGAGATTCATTATATGTGTAGCAAAGTAAATGATTAAGTTAGGAGCTTTTTATAGCCACAGAAATGCAACTTCCAGTCGGTATGGCATCCCCTGATGGCTGATGCACACAATGCTCTTGAGAATTGCCCCATACATTTGGGTACATACAGACTGCAGAATTCCCAAAGCACAAAACCCAAGTGTCCTGCACGGACTCACATAGACCTCAAACACACAGTTGTCCCAGTGAAATAAGGTAAGATAAAAAGAAAAAAATGTAAGCCATTGTTTACTTGCACCAGGTAATGCAAGTAGTCTTCATCCTCCCATTTTGTTAAACTCAAAACATCTAGGTTAAGGAATAAAATGAAAATTATCTTCTCAAAAAGAATGGAATACAACCCAAAATTGATGTCTACTGCACCACTCATAGCAAAAAAGAGAAAAGCAGAAGGGAAAAGCAAAAAAAAAAAAAAAAAATCATTTTTTCTTTTGAATCAGTTTCTGATCTGAGAGTAAACTTGGGGAAGAGTTGTGTAGCAGGGATTAATATGGAGGAGAAATAATTAAGATCTTTGGCGGAGACTCTAGGGTGTGAGGTAAGGAATTTGCCGTTGGAAAATCTTGGTCTCCCGTTAGGTGGAAATCCGAGGTCAGAAGTCTTTTGGTAGCTGGCCTTAGAAAGGTTCTCTAAAAAACTTGCTCTCTAGAAAAGAAGTTACATCTCTTTGGGCAGAAGAATAACATTGATCAGGGCAACATTAGCCAATTTACCTATTTACTATCTTTCCACCTTTAGAATTCCAGCTCGAGTTGCAAACCAACTCAAGAAAATCATGAGAAACTTCCTTTGGGAACCAGTGGACGAGAAGAGGGATCATCTTGTGAAGTGGGAGAAAGTTAGCAAACCAAAGGAGCAGGGTAGGCTTGGAATAGGGAACCTAACCTCCAGAAATATAGCACTGTTAGGGAAATGGTTATGGAGATTTCTGATGGAAAATGACAGACTTTGGCATAAGGTAATTGCAAGCATTCATGGGACAATGAACAACGGATGGGATGCAAAAGTTGCCTCTTCTGCAACCGCTATGTCTCCTTGGAAATCAATACAGGTGGTAATACCCAAATTTTATCAATTATATCAGATATGATGTGGGAAGTGGGACCCAGGTATTGTTTTGGGAAGACCTTTGGCTGGTTAGAACCCCCCTTCAGTTTGCCTTTCCTAGCCTTTATTCCTTGTCGAACTATAAACAACAACCTGTCTCGAGATTTGTTTCCTTGACTACTTCAGGGATTAACTGGGTAAACTAACTACACCAAACTTTCCTTGATCAGTCAAGGGAGGACACTAGAATTTGGTCTTGTGGGTATTTTCACTTGTGCTTCCTTCCTTAATGCTCTCTTGCAGTCCAATAACTTGAGGGAGAACTTTCCTATGAAAGAAGTTTGGAGCAAGCCTATCCCACCTAAAATCCAGGCTTTGTGTTAAAAAGTTTGTCTTGGAAAGATAAATACCTGTGATTTGCTACAGAAAAGAAGGCCAAATGTTAGCCTCTCACCCCACATACGCTTCCTTTGCCGTGCAAGTGGTGAAACCCTATCTCATTTATTGTTGCCTTGCTCTCTTGTTCTTGGTATTTGGGAATTCTGTTGCTCACTTTTTGACTGCAGGTGGATATCTCCACAGGATATAGTGTGCTCATTCAGCCCAAGCTTCTTAAGACAACCAAGAAAGAGGGGAAGAACTATGTGAAAAGCAATTTGGGCTGCAGTAGTATGGACTGTTTGGGAGGAAAGAAATGGAAGAATTTTTAATGAGAAAAGTAGATCAAAGGAGGAATTATGTGAAGTTATTCTAATTAGAGCAGCTCACTGGATAAAGACAATTGATGCATTCAAAGATTTCTCAGTTAAGGATATCATAAAGGCATGGTCTGAGGTGGCTGCCTCCTCGAGAGAAAAGGAAAAGAGGGCTATGATATGGTCACCCCCAGCAACAAATAAAATAAAATTGGATTTTGATGGAAGTTTCATGGGAAACACCGGTATGGCAGGTATTGGAGGAGTTTTTAGAAACTGCATAGGGAAAGTTTTGGCTATGTATTCAGGTCCTTTGGGATTGGGAGACTCATTAAAAGCAGAATTGATGGCAATACTTCAAGGCTTAAGACTTGCCAAACAAGTAAACTTTCAACAGTTGGAAGTAGAGGGGGATTCAAAGCTTATCATCTCTTGGGCAAAGAATATTCAGCTCACGCCATGGATATATAGGCATAATTTTAGAGAAATTGAAAGCATAAAACAGGAGCTGAACATTACTTTCAACTGGGTAAGAAGGACTGCAAATGGGATGGCTGATACTCTTGCAAAACAAGGGGTAAATAGGCAACAATTGTGTTGGGCGAAATTGTAACTTTTGTACCTTGTGGGTTTTGATTGGACTTATTGTAATTTCAAATTTTAGTTCATTTTAATAAAATTATCAGTTCTTTTTCTGATAAAAAAAAAGCAAAAATAAAATCATCAAGCATAAAGAAATTGTTTGTTCCTTGTACTGGGGCAAGGTAAAATGGGATTTAGGATAGAGGGCATTACCTGAGACCAGATGGATCAGATTGAAGAGAGGCCTGCACAGCTGCTTCATCATACATTGGAGCAGAACAAATTATTGGCTGGCTTTGGGGTGGAGTAAACAAAGGTACACTGTTCTCATCTCTAGGTGGAAATTCAACTCCAACAGACTGCCAATTATGGTAAACTTTGTTTAATGATCAACAATCAGGATAAAAAAATTGAGAAATAGATTTTACATGCTAAAAATCAAAAATTCAAAACACTGGGCATGAATGAAAGATTTGAAAAGCAATGCCATACTGACAAAGAAAAGAGCACACTGTATGTGTATATGGGCATCACACAGACGAACTGAACTGGTTTACATATGTGCTGTTAACTCCGTGTTTAGTGAAACTTAAATAATTATAACACTATAGTTCATGGAGAAAATAGGTATGAATTTGATGCAACCAGCCAAACACACATCATTAGGTCAATATGGATAATAACAACTTCCTTTGATCTAAACAAACAACTTTTCTTCATAGACTGCCACTTTCCTCCTCAAACCTCAACACTGTCTGCCTAGAAAGCCCTATTGTCCAAAGTGGCCAGAAGCCAAGCTTCCCGTGTTGCCATTAATTGTGAGGTCTTAGTCCTCTTGGACAAGGAATTCTTTTTTTCTAGAAAACATGTAATGGTCAATGGCCTATAAAATTAACTTTTTAATGGACTTCTAATACTTGATTGATTTGAAAAAGAGAAAAAAAGATCATATGGTGATGATGAGAGAAATTGTCTTCAGAAATTATTTCGCCTTAAATTATTCGAGCTATTACACTGAGTGGTTGAGATCATCTCTTGTCCATCTTTGTCCTACATCAAGCACCCATCTAGATCAGAATTAGAAATACCATATTCCCTGTAGAAAGGGAGAATGATTCAAAAACAAGCTTCCCTGTCTAACCCAGCAAAACAACTACTTCACAAATAACATCAAAGTAATAAAAACCAGAGAAAAAGTTAAATAAGCACCTTCAGCTCATTGTATGCAGCATAGTACTGGGGATACCTTCCACCAGGACCCCCAAAAGCTTCTTGCCATGTATCTATGAGAATTAATATCTTTTCTCTTACATTAAGGTCTGGCTGTAGAATTCATAATTTGAAGAAATCAATAAATAGGATATTGAAATTGGGAAAAAGAACATATAGGATAGAACTAAACCACAGACAAGGAAAAACAGGACCTTCTTCTTCACTATTTTGACCATTTCATGTAAGATATCTCGCTCAACGATCTGCTGATATACGTTATCGCCACAATTTTTACTGAGAGTCTCTAGTACCTGGACAGCAATTTGCAGAATAATAATTAGGCAATTCAATAAAATGCAGAACACCCCATAAGGTTATTGTTATGTTTTGTCTTGAAAAGACTACTAAATAAGAATAACAATGTCAGGGACAGACGAAACAACAAAAACTTAATTAGAATTCCTTGACCTTCCATAAAAAATGGATCATTTATCATCTTTCATCTAAAAATTCATTATTGTTTTTAGCCCTTTCCATCCTAAACTCCTATGCAATTTTCTTTATGAACTTGACTTCCTAGCAAACTATACACTGCTGAAACTTAAGTGACCACGGTGGACCTGAAGAGGGAATATAAACAGCATGATATTTTAAAAGCTGTGTGTGAACCACCTCTGAAGCATCTATTTATGTATTACTGAGTTCACATGTTGACATATTTGCATGTTTGTGTGCAAGAGAGAAAGAGGAGGGGTAAAATTAATGTAAAGGATTTTATATTTATCAAATTTGATATCTGTGTGTGTGTAAGTGGCCCCAAGAGCAAATCCATCAATATATGAAAAATCAACTAAAATATAAAATTTTGCCAGGGAAAAAAAACTAATCAACCACATTGATAAGGGATCATAAAATATCGCATATTTTCTCTTTGGCAGCTTCTATATCAATTGGTATATATGTACTACCTTATAATGACATGGTTGTTCCAACCCAGTCACTTGCACATAATTATATGATTAATAAACCTATAAACTCCAATGATTAGATGGATCCTTTTCAAATACATATGAACGAAACCATATTTAGAGTCAGGATATCCCTTTAACAATCTGAAGAAAGACTGTGTTGAATAAGATCTGGAGGAAGGATGGGGTTGAGTGGGTGGAGCTGAAAGCGGATGGGTTGGCGGGAGGTAGTTTTTCTGTGGGATCCAGGGGTGTTCAGGAAGGTTGGGGAGTGGGCTGGGAGATTGTCGGTATCAGTCTGCTGGTCTTTGTGTGTTTGTGTATGGCTGGGTGGGGAGGAGGCTCTCTGAAGGAAAGGAATGGAGCATTGAAGAGTTGGTGGCGTCGGTTGGAAAACTCATCAGAAGCTGGGTCATCTCCCTTCGAGAGTTGAGCAAATCAGTCCTTCAGACTTTGCTGATTATTTCTGGAATTTATTAGAGATTCAAATTTGTAATGTGAATTAGTTTAGTCTGAACTGAACTTTGATGCATGTTTGCTTTGATTTGCGGGGTGTTATCTAGACACCTGAACAGCTTGTACCTGTTTTTTTAATAAATTCTTTTTATTTACTCTTCAAAAAAAAACAATCTGATGGGGTTGGAGTAGGAAAAAAATTCAAGATAATAGAAAAAATGTGTTCATATCAATTCTCATATTTTGGATTGATTGATTACTCATCCTAGGTTTAAAGATGTTGGTAGATACTCTTTTGGTGTAGATTTATGGTCAATTCATGCTATAGTACTGGAGGATGTTCAGGCACTTCAGGGTGCTGTTTTTGTTTGGGGGATATTTTTGTTTTAAGATGATGTTAGATTTTTTTTTTTTTTTTGTGAGAACAGGTACGGTAAAACTTTCTATTAAACCAAGAAAATAGCAGCCATGTACAAGGGACTGTATCTCAAGAGAAACAAACAAGCCCAATCAAGGCTTTACCCTCAGCATGAGAAAATTCAATAACTTGATTGAGTCCCTTGAGTTGAAGGAACCCACTCTTATACAGGCTGACTTTACTTGGTCTAATTTCCAAGATATCCCAATCTGTTCCAAGCTGGATAGGTTGCTTTTCTCGGTAGATTGGGAAGATTTGTGGGAAAATTTGGTAACTAGACCCTTACCTAGGGTTACCTCAGACCATTGCCCAACCTCTTTGGGGCAGGAACTGTTGTTTGGTGGCCCTTCTCCCTTCTGGTTTGAGAATATGTGATTGGAAGATCCCCACTTCAAGGAAAGGGTAAAAACTTGGTGGAATGAGGAAAGACCAAGAAATAGAAAAAAGGGTGTTAGTTTTATGAGGAAATTGAAAGCATTAAAGGGGAATATTAAGGAGTGGAATAGGGACCTTTTTGGAAGACTTGAAGAAGCTCAAGAAAGAATCTCATCAAAAATAGAGGATTTGAATAGAAAGGAAGCCTTGAGAGAAATTAGTAAGGAGGAGAGAGAAGATCATTGGAAGCTGAAGGTGGAATTGGAAGATCTGTTCAGAAAAGAAGAAATCTCATGGAGGCAGAAGTCTAGGTGCAAGTGGCTCCAAGAGGGAGATGGAAATACAAGGTTTTTCCATAACCTAGCAAATGGAAGGAAAAAGAAAAATTGCATAACAAGTTTAGAGGTGGAGAGAGTTGAGGTTAAAGGGGAAGAGGAGATTGTCAAAACCTTTGTGGACCATTTTAGAGGTATTTTCTCCAATTCTGAAGGAAGTAGACAAGAACTCCCTGATTTGGATTGGGATATTGACTGATAGTCAATCAAATATGTTGGAGGCCGGGTTTAGTATTGAGGAAATTAAAGAGGCTGTCTTCTCCAATGGAAAGATCAAAAGCACCTGGGCCGGATGGGTTCTCTATGGCTTTTTTTTCCAGGATTGTTGGGAGGTGTTGGAAAAGGATGTAAAAGAGGTGTTTGATGAGTTCCACCAGAAAGGGGAGGTCTCACGAGGAACAAATTTCACCTTCATTGCTTTAGCGCCCAAGAAAAAGGAAGCTAAAACTCCAAGGAACTTCAGACCAATTAGCTTGGTGGGTAGCCTTTACAAAATAATAGCAAAAGTTCTTTCAAGCAGATTGAAGAAGGTTTTACCCACAGTAATTTCCCAATCCCAAGGGGCTTTCATTGAAGGAAGACAAATTGTTGATCAAATTTTAGTAGCTAATGAATGTGTTGCAAAGAAGAAGAAAAAGGGTGGAAAAGGTTTTATTTGTAAATTGGACTTAGAAAAGGCTTATGACTTAGTGGATTGGTCTTTCCTTATTGAGGTTATGAAGAATTTTGGGTTTGGGGAAAATTGGAGGCGCTGGATCAAGGGCTGCTTAAGCACAATTCACTACTCAATTCTGATTAATGGTTCTGATAGAGATTTCTTTCCAGCCAAGAGAGGTTTAAGACAAGGTGACCCTTTATCTCCATTCCTCTTCACCTTAATTGCAGAGGTCTTAAGCAGAATGATCACAAAAGCAGAGTTTAATGGTTTGTTTAGAGGATGGAGGGGGGGGATGAGATTGTTGTCACTCACTTGCAATTTGCAGATGACATAATCCTCTTCGGTGAGGACTCCAATTCTGAGTCCCTAGGAAACCTTAAAGAGTTGGTGAGATCCTTTAAGAAACTGTTAACTTAAAGGTCAACAGTGGATCTCCTAGGTAGTGAAGTCAAAAATTGGCCTTTGGATTATCTAGGACTCTCCCCTAGGTGGAAATCCAAGATCTGAGAGATTTTGGAAGTCCATATTGGAAAGATTTACTAAAAAACTAGCTCTCTGGAAGAGGAATTATATTTCATACGGAGGGAGGATAACCTTGATCAAAGCCACCTTAGCCAATCTTCCTATCTACTTCATGTCCACCTTTCGTATACCTGTCAAAATTGCTAGGCAATTAGAAAAGATAATGCGGGATTTCTTGTGGGAGCCGGGGGACGGAAAGAAAGACCACTTAGTGAAATGGGAAAAAGTTAGCAGATCCAAAGAAGAGGGTGGGCTTGGTTTAGGCAATCTAATTTATAAGAACTCAGCTCTTCTAGGAAAATGGCTTTGGAGGTTTCCTCTAGAAAGAAACAGGCTATGGCACAAGGTGATTTTTAGCATTATAGTCGGTCGGAAAATGGCTGGGATGCAAAGGTAGCCCCCAATGCAAACTCCTCTCCTTGGAAAGCTATCTATGAAGTGTATCCTTTCTTTATTAATCTCATTAGTTATGGTGTTGGCAATGGGTCAAGAATTTTGTTTTGAGAGGACCTGTGGATAGGTAGTCAACCACTAAAGGTCCAATTTCCTGTGCTTTATTCAATTTCCAATTATAAATGTGAACCCATCTCTAAGTTTGTGAATTTCTCAGCCTCGGGATTAAGTTGGGATTTGGGGTTTAGAAGAGGTCTAAGGGAAATGGACTGTGATTCTCTCATCCTCCTCTTGGCCAAACTTGACTCCATTTTTTTGGATCAACGTGTTGAGGACAAGAGAGCGTCGTCAACTTCTTCACATGATCATTTTACTTGTGCATCCTTCTTCAACTTCCTAATTCAGCATTCTACTTTGGGGATGAATTTAGTGAAAGAAATTTGGAGCAAGCCAATCCCTCCTAAGATTCAAGTTTTTTGTTCGGAAGTTTTCCTTGGTAAGATCAAAACCATTGACATGCTGCAGAAACGAAGGCCAAACACTTGCCTTTCTCCTCACTTGTGCTTTCTTTGCAAAAATAATGTTGAAACTATTTCTCATATTTTCTTATCCTGTCCTTTTGCACATGGTATTTGGGAGCATCTTTGTTCTCTCTTTGGGTGCAGGTGGTCTCCTCCTCGGGATGTGAGAGGGCTCTTTGATCCAGTTTTCTTGCGACAATCAAAGGCTAGAGGAAGGCTAATGTGACTGATCAAAAAAAACGCTAATGTGGAAAGCTGTGAGAACTGCATTGATTTGGACCGTTTGGGAAGAAAGAAACGGAAGGATTTTCAAATGATAAGAGTAGATCTGATTTGGGAGTCCTGGAAACAGTTAAAATAAAGGTTGCTCATTCGGTAAAGTCAATGGAGGATTTCAAATCTTTCTCTATAAATGATATCCTGAGAAAGTGGAAGGAGGTGGCTATGTCAGCTCAAAATAAGGAAAGAAAAGTGATGGAATGGAGACAACCAAAAGCCAATTGTGTAAAACTCAACTTTGATGGTAGTTACATACGCAATCAGGATTCAGCTGGGATGGGAGGGGTCTTTCGAGACTCAGAAGGGAAGGTGCTTGCTTTATATTCAGGTCCTGTAACCAATGGTGATGCAGTGACAGCAGAATTGTACAGTCTTCTTC